CAAGTAGATAAATAGGTACCACTTCGGTGGGAAGGTAACAGCGTTCCGTGCGCCTTGGTGTTTAGTCATGCCAGCCACATGACCACGGAAACGTCTTTGGACAGCGCTGGCTCTTCGGCTTTGAAACGGAGATGAGCACCGCAACCCTAGAGTCGGATTTGACTGGCTTTCGAGCAAGGAAACCTTTACCTTTACTTTACTTTACTTAAATTATTTAAAAGTAATTCTTCACTGCTGTTCCAAGGAAGTATTCAATTTGTCCCAAAGTTGCTGGTTTCAGGACTGGTCTGGTAAAAAGTTTCCCTCGATGCTACAAATATTGTTACTCTCCACAGCAATTAAACCACTTTTTCTATAATTGACTGTAGTTCAATTAAATGACCATTAGTCTAATCCTGCCTGACCTGGTTAGGACTTGGATGGGAGACTGCCAGGGAAGACCAGGGTTGCGACGCAAAGGCAGGGAATGGCAAACCATCTCTGAATGCCTCTAGCCTTGGGGTTGCCACAAATTGGCTGTGACTTGACAGCATTTTTCATCACCAGTATAATTCTAATATCTCAAACATACGGTTATCTACTGTTTTTGACCATTGCAGCCTACTAGGAAACTTTTAAAAAAAAATTGTATCTGGAGTGTTTCTTCACATAGCACGCAAGTGTGGTAACTGATGCTAATAATAATATAACATTTTAGGATGATGCTGGACTCAGTAAGCCACAATACGTTCCTGCCAAATCCAATGCTCTGTGAATCCCTAACGTCTTGGTCAGAACTATTTGGACCAACTGAAGAAAACTACCTCCCATTTGATCACCAAACAGGTGAGTACATAAGTTGTTTGTTAACTGTGTCCTATACTAATAGGTTCTCCACACAGTAAGTGTTGTCTGCAGTTTCTTTTTAAGAATCTGAGTTTCTCCATAAACACAACAGAACTGCCTGGACAGAAATAAAAAGTTTCCACTGATATGACACTCTGACGTTTAGCAGGCAGTTAGGTATGGATTCTTAGTTATTTGAGTGGAGTTATACTAGTGAAGACCTGCCTCCTTCCTCTCCCAGCAGCCTTCTATGCACCTGACATTGTTCTTCTGCGGGTGAGTGGATTCAAAGGAACAGTGTGGGGGAAAACTTGAAGTCTGCCCCAAGAACAAGAAACCGGCAAAAATCTCCCTCCCCTCCTCTGCATACAGAAAAATCATTCTATCTGAAGAACTGCTGCTGCATTGATGGAACAGCACTGTAGAATCCAAGGCTTATGGGCAAACTAGACAAGACACCAGTTCCAGGTTCACTCCAGGGACATGCCTCCATTGTGTAGAGCCCAGAAATTCCTTTTAAGAGTGCTGCAAGGGCCCAATTCTGGTTGAGACCACCATGCTGTAGGAGGAGGAGGGGTTTCTGCATCCCCCCATGCCATTTTTCCAACCTAAAAAGGGCACCAGCACCTCTCCCTGGTTCATTTTCAGGTCAGAAAAACTGTGTGGGGGGAAATATAGGAGCCCCTCCTTCCCCATGCTATGGTAGTTATTCACAAAACTGGGCCCCCACAGAGCTCTTAAAAGGCATTACATTAAAAGGCACTACAGAAGAAGAGTTGGTTTTTTATACCCTGCTTTTCTCTACCCTAAGGAGTCTCAAAGAGGCTTGCAATCACTTGCTTTTCCCCTCCCTTGTGAGGCAGGTGGGGCTGAGAGATTTCTGAGAGAACTGTGACTGGCTCAAGGCCACCCAGCAGGCTTCATACGGAGTGTGGAAACAAACCAAGTTCTCCAGATTAGAGTCTGCCACTTTTAACCACTAAACCATGATGGCTCTATAAACAGGAGATGTCACAGGAATGCAGGGACAGTGTTCTGTCTAGTTCGGCCCATAATAATACTACTTTCGATTTATTGATCGCTTTTTCCCAAACACCTGTGGGCTATTTACAGTTACTCATGACATTTGGACTAACAATACTCATGGGGGATAGGGAAGACAACATACAGTATTTTTAATTACACACACATTGTAGCTGGCCGGAGGATTCATCTGCGGGCTGGATCAGTCGTGTTCCGACGGCATGTATACTTGTCGGCTGGCTGATGACGTCAGGGATAATATATGGTACTTATACATTATGAGAAATCCTAGCTTCTTGATGACTATACCTGGTTTTTTGTTTGCAAATGCATAGTTCACATGCACATTTTATATTTTAAGGGAACACAAGGGACACTGTAAGTTTATACTTACACTAGAAGTGACATCCTGCATTGACACAGAACTGAATCGCTTGTCCCCACATGCTGAGTTCTCCCACCAGGGTGCCACCTAGGGTTGCCAGCCCTAAAAGGAACAGCTGAAGTAGATAAGCACTAATCAGGCAGGAAAATATCAGCATGCTTCAGTAATCTATTACAACAAAAGCCAGTAAAACAATACAATTCAGATGTAAAG